AAATGTGCGTATATTTTATTTTTTTTTTTTTTTTTATTGAATAGTATAATCAGATGTGACTTATAATTGACGAAGTTTAATCGTGAAATTTTTAATATTTGTTGCTTGTCGATGTAATCGTTATATCGTTGAAATTAGGTTTTTTTCTTTTAGTATTGTCCTTGTTTTATCGTCTTCTTTTTCTTTTTATTTTCTTCTTTTAACATAGAAAATGTTACTATGGATGTGATTCCATAGTAATTTGGAATTCTTAGACTCGTGTGCGGTCCGCGTTCCTTGCATATATTTCCTCTCTCTTCCTCGATGTGCTTGTTCATTTTATAGCTCGTACGAGATTCTTCCAGAGCGTAAATCACATCGTATTGAATATTGAAACGCCAAAGTATGTTTTTCAGAGCAATAGAATTTGAAATCTTGATTGCTTTTTAGGATCTTCTTATCGAGAAGATTATCCTTCGTTAATTAACTTTCGTCATTAAAGTTAACGCGTACATATAGTATATTATGTTTCGAATATGTTAAAAAGTCTAGAAAATTTTAAAATTTGAGATTTTTTTTCAATTTTTATGGTAAATATTGTTTTTACATTCGCTCGGAACAATATGAGGCGTAAAGCACGTATGCTTATTCACGTAATTTTTATTGATTCTTTTAGAATTGTTTTTTCTTTTTTAATAAAATTTTAACTATAACTATATATTTATAACTAATTTTGCCTCGTATCATTATATACTTGTATGTGCAATAAAAAAATACTACAATACTTCCAAGAAAATCCGCTCTATAATTAAATAATGGCTGCAATGAAATGTGATTAACTATAGTGTGCTCATAAATCATCAAACATACGATGATCTTGTTCAGGACACGTTTCATCCGTACTTTCTTCTCGTATAGAATATTTCAGTCTAGTGCGTCAGAAATACATTTCATGGGAAGGAGCATATGTCCAGAAATTTTATTTCATGTTTCCAGAAACACACTAGCCTTCCTGAAAGCGATGAATCAAAATAGTGCATCCATCCCATTTTG